CAGGGTGGGAAAGACATCTGAGACTTGTAGCTCCATAGGGATTCGGCATTTGAGGGGTGGTGGTGGTGAGGAAACAAGGTGCCTCACTGGTTAAGAGCTTGGCTGCTGACTGCAGGGAAAAGAATGTGGCCGTCTGCTTCTTAATTTACAGCCTTGGAAACCCTTTGGGGCTAGTCCTACTCTGCCCTCTTGGGTCCCTATGAGCAGGAATGGACTCCAAGGCAATGGGCGTGGCTTAATGAGGAAGGGGAGGAATCAAAGGCAAAAGCTTTGGTTAAGCCATGGAAATGGGAGGCCCAGTGCGGCAGCTTGTCCCTGAGCTACTCATAGGTCTTGCCCAGGTCTAGGAGGAAGGGACAATTTGCCTGAAACTATGGCTGTGGAGAAGTCGGCCATTCAAACCCATCTTGGAAACCCTATGCAGGGTCGTTATGAGTCACAACCAAGTCACAGCACTTAACAAGGCTGAGAAAGGGGCGATGGTTTCTGGTCTACTCAGAAAAGGCACCGGTGCCCAGAAAACCGCTCCACCCGGCGTCAAGGACAGCACCACTGTTCTCAGAAGTTCCGGGCAGCTCCTTATTGAAAAGCCATGTCGTGTCAAACTGTGGGACCTAAGCAGCCAGTGGCCTGTCTCTTTAGCTGAGATTTATCCGGCCACGGGTGCCGCCCTCAGTGCTGATTCCAACAGGGAGACCCACAGCACTGTGACCCGCCTGGCGTCCATGGCCTCACTCGGTTGGGAGATGCGTGAGCGGAAATGGGCTGGGGGGCACACAGACCACCGACTAGCTAGGCTGAGGGAGGGTGCCCTCTCCTCACCTGGCGCAGATAAGACATGGTGCTGCATAAAGATCCAGCAGGAAGAAACGAGACACACACTCCCCATCCCAGGGGCTGGGTCTTTGCTTCGGAATGTGACAATTTATTTGGAGGGTAAAGGAGGCTCTTTACTCCCCCTTCCTGGCATTGATACAATATTGAAGAGCAGCAGAACAAAACGTACAAGACGAGAGTAATCGGCACCAACCCGCCCCTCCCCCGGCCCAGAACAGAACCAAAACCCCACCCCGTCTTCTGCATCAAGAATCTCTGCCAGGGCAGGGCAGGGCAGGGCAGGAGGGCCACGGGAGACCCACCCCACCGCCTCTTGCCGACCCCAGCTACTTCTCTATCTCAAACCACTGGAGGCTAAGATTAGCCAGCTGGGAGCTGGACCATAGACAAAGGCAACGACACTTCATTTTTAAAATGAGAGCGAGAAAAGAGATAGAGCCCCGCCCCAAATATAGAGCTATATATGTATATTATATATATAGAATTCAATTCGTGCACGATTCATTAAATGAGCTTTTCAAAAATTAAGAAAGAATTATAAGATACATATTTCTTTAGGCCTTTGTGTTTTTAAATTAAAACCAAAAAAAAAAAAAAAAAAGTCTTCATCTCCACTTCATTCCAACAGCAAGAGCAGCCCTGAAGTTTTCTCTGCCCTCAGCAACCCGTTAGACCACCCAACTCCCTTTGCCTAGCTGACGCCCTGCATACAGTTGGCACCTACTCATTGTTGGCCTAAAGGGCTGACTCCTTCAAGGTGGGGAGAACCACACAGACCTGAGGAGGCAGGGTCTTGCACCCACCCACGGGTGCTCCTGTCTCAACATGTTGGTGACTGCTGGGGAGTCCCTCATACTGGGCTCTCTGAATCCAAGAGATGCAGACAGAAAAACTTGGTTTTCCTTTCTTCTTTACAAAAGTGAGTCCTCAAATCATATGAGCCCGAAAGAGGTTGTCTGGGCTAGTGCAGTGCGGGGGCTGGATGTGGACCTGCCCAGGCAGGGTCCACTGGCCAGCATGGGGGAAGTGCAAAAAAAAGAAAACAAAAAACCCCCCAACTGGTGGGGCAGGGGTGTGTCCCTTTGGGTCCCCATGGCACAGAGCCTTCTCAGTGCTGACCCTCTGGCCTTGGGCTCAGATCAAGGATCTGCACAACAGCTTCTTGGCTCTGTATAGGCCTATTTCCTCATCTGTGAATCGGGGCAACCTCACCCCCTCTCCTGACTCTGAGGCTGGAGACTGATCATCGCCTCTTCTAAGCTGAGGCTCATTTTGACCATGACCCCTTTGCAGGAGAAGAGTGGGGGTGAGGTGGGGGCTGTGGTTGGCTGAAGGCTACAGAATCAGCAACTTCTATACCACCTGCTACTCCACACCTCAGTCGTGAGGTTGGCCCAGGATCGGGCAGTGTTTCGTTCTGCTGTGCATAGGGTCGCTATGGGTCGGTACTGACTCGATGGCACCTAACTACAACAACAACACTCCACACCAGCAGCACTTTACTAAGAGTGGTTGCCGCCCAATACACCCATTTCACAGAAGGGCAAACAGGGCCAGATGAAAAACGAAATAGGGGTGGGGGCCAACTTCCAGTCTCAACCCAGACACCAGAGTGCTCCTGTTTCCTGTGACACCTGGGGAGGGAGTAGCATTGAAGGGAGGGCACAGAGGTCCCAGCCCACACTGCAGAAGGGAGGTCAGGCTCTGGGAGCATTTCGAGTACAAAAATAAAGCAAAGTGAACTGCAACTCCTGCTTGGTAGTTAGGCAAATGAGAAAGCAGCATGGGCTGGGAGGAGGACCCATGTGTGAGGGGCAGGAACCTGGGGGGGGGCCCAGCTCAGAGCCAGCCTGGGAGAGAGGTAAGGGGGGTTCTGCTTGGTCTTGCCCCCCACCCCCAGGCAATGTGCATGCATGCCTCTGCGTGAACCCGAGATGGGAAGGCCCAGCTTGGGGGTCTGGGCTGCAATGTGCCCATGGAAAGCCCGAGTTGGACAGGTGTTCCCTTCTCCTCAAGGTGACCCCCAATCTTTAAGCTACCCTGATTCTCCTAGGATTCACTGCTTCTCTCTTCCTAAAGCCTGCATCCCTTCCTCACCAAGGAAGCTCAGGGGGGTCATGGTTTCGGGGTGATGCCCCCACGGGTGGGGCTGGTACGACCAGATGGCACAACATGCTGGCAGGAAAAGAAGAGGGGGGCAAGAAACCCTCATGAACCTACACATCAGCCTTCCTGGAGCAAACCACCACCAGGGGTCCTATTCCACTCCATCCCAAAGCTGAGCCCCCTCTCTCCACTTGCCCTTTTAGCTTCTGGTGAGTTCCCTTTGAGCAGGAAGGATTGGGGGGCAGGGTGGAAGTCTGGGCCCAGTACAGCACGGACAGCTCCCCCTGCCTTGGGCCAGGGAAAGGGGGGTGGCTGGCCTTGGGGCTATCCCACATGGTGTCTCCTGGGGGCCCACCAACCACTCGGCCACCTCCCCCTGTGCAATCACTGCGTAACTATTTTTATCTTTAAATATCTTTCTTCTTCCCTCCCACCCCATAGGAATCCCACCGTATTTTTTTCTATCTTTTTTTTTCTTTTTTGCAAAACTAACTCTTTCACTTTCCTGTCATAAAATCACCTCTGAAAACACAACTTTTTTACAAAAAAAGTCACGAATGACACAGACCCTCAGGAAAACACATTTCTATGGTCTCTGGAAACACCTGTAACTGGTACCCAGGAGGTCACCCACCTGGGAGAGGGGACATTAGGGGGAAATCACCTCTGAGGATGGAGGAGAAATACCAGCCCTTATTTGGGGGACAAGCCAATTGGCACTTGGAGGGCCACAGAGTCAACACAGGGTGGCTGGCGCTGGGGTCCAGGTGAGCTGGCCTCCCTCCAGTGAGGGTCCAGTCAACAACCTGGGAGTGGGGCAGGCTGCGCTGCAGTTCCTGGCAGGGAGATTTGGGGGAGTCCTCCAAAGCTTAGGGACCAAGGGTATTTGGCTATCAAGTGGGAAGTACCAACTGCTGTACACACCAGGAAGGTCCCTAGAGCCTCAGCCAGGACCACAACACCGAGGTCAAACTGACATTCAGGCAGTGGTCTAAGTGTAGCCACTAGGCCCCTGGTCCCACTCCTGAGACCAGAGACCAAATACCCTCGCTGCGACCCTGCCCTTTCGGCCTGCCTATCCTCCCAACACCTGGCCTCAAATCGGGGCTTTGGTCTCTGCCCTTGGCATGAACGCCTCAGCTCCTAGGCAGCACGAGGGAAACTGAGGCTGCCTAGGGCCTCTGAGGCCTCTGGTTGCTTCGAGCAGGCTGGGCTATGCTAAAGCCTCAGCGTCAGAAGCAAGAGAGGGGGGTGAGAGAAGCCGACGAGACCCCCAGGGGAGGTTGCTAAGCTTCCCCTTCCTTCCCAGACCCCTAGGAGGAAGGAGAAGCTTGAGTGGGGGTCCCCCTCTCCAGCTCAGTCCCCACCATGCCATGTCTACAGTGAAGGCCTGGCTGGTCAGGCTGATTCCCCTGAGGCAGAGGGCAGAGACCCCCAGCACACTGGGCTGGGAGGGCAGGCCTGGCGGCTTCCACAACCATCTCCTCGGACCCGAGCGGATGGCGAGGGAAGGTCCAGACCTTCAATGACCCTGTTCATTCTGAGGAACCGGAAGGGTGCCATCTGGAAGCCTGGGGCCTAGCACCCAATGCACATATGGATACACACGTACAAACACGCCAAGAGGTGGCGGACGCACACGCACACCAGGCTCTAATAGCACCTTTGGTCGAGAACTGAAGGGGTCTTGAGACACCAGGAAGCTGGGACAGGCTGTTTCCTGCCAGACCCCCCCACCTTCCAGAAGGGGACTCGGGGGGCCTGACTCTGACCCAGCTTCTGAGGAAAAAGCAGAGGCCGAGCCTGGCCTTGTCCCGGACCTCTGTCAAGGGCTTTGCCCACCCTGGATGGGGGTCTCCAAAGGGCCCCCACAGCTGCCAGGCAGCACCGAGGAATCGGACGCTGCACCCGAGTACAGCCAGCAAGCTGGGGTTGGGAGTGGGATGTGGAGGAGCAGCTGAACCCTCGGTTCTGAGTTCTCCAGAAACCAGCCAGTGGGACCCACTGTGTACGAGTCAGGAAGGGTCCCAAGGAGCCCCCCAATGGGCTTTGGGGTTCCAGCTGCCCAGTCCCATCCCAGGGTCAACACGGAGCCATCTGAACAAGCAAAGCGTAGGCGGTGAGGGCAGGGTGCAACAAGAGGGCGACTTTGGACAGGAGGCCCCCCAAAGTTCCCTCCTTGGTGGAGCCCCTCACTTGCTGGCCCCACTGCCTCCACCTATCCCGGTAGCACCTGTCACCCCAGCTGCCACCTTCTCAAAATCCTCAGGGTTGCAGAATTCCTTGATGGTGACGGTCAGGAGGTTGCTGGTGACATCGGTGACGACCACGTTGGAGCAGGGAGACATCTCGGGGCGCCAGTCCCCGGCCTCAGGCTCGGAAGAGGCACCGGCAGGCACGGGGACTGTGGGGAGCGCCTGGCTGCACGCAGCAGAACCGTCAGGGGGTGCCCGCTTGCTGGTGGCTGCCGACTCGGCTGGGAGAGACAGATCAAGTACCTCAGCTTCACGCCAGTCGGGGGCTGATGGGCTCAGGGTTTCCGGCAGCAGCTTGGGGGGCACATCATCAGGGTCAGAGGACTGTGGAGTTGGTGAGGGGCAGTCGGAGGAGCTGGAGCTGCGGGCATCGTAGGGAGCAGCGGGGGCGCCTAGGAGCAGCCCGGGACCCTGGGGAACAGCAGTGTCGGCCTTGCCCGTGGGTGGGGGACACAAAGGGGCTGGTGGGGGTTTGTTGTATAGCGCGAAGGCCCCGAGCTTCATGTGGCGGATCTGGGTGCGCAGGATGCTGTCACTAAATTTCTTGCTCTTACCGATGACGCGGTTCCGAGAGGGGACTTTGGGGCGGGCGAGGGTCCCGGGCCCTTGCCCCGCAGTCCCTCCACCCGGGGCCTTGTCGATCACCTTTAGGTTCAGAATGATGCGGTTCCGCTTGGGCTCCCGAGGCTTCACCTTGCGATTGATGATACGCACAGTCTCGGAGAAGGGTGAGATGGGGGGACGCAGGCCTGGGCTGCCCCCCTGGGGGTCTGGGCGGGGCAGGGGGCGGCGGGACATGCGATGGCAGCGGCGGATGTCCTTCTTGAGTCTGTGCACTGCTGCGCTGGAGTGCAGCTTGGGCGAGGAGGCGCTGGAGCTCGGCTTGACAGAGAAGTGTACATCGCTGATGCGGAGTGCCTCGGCCTGAGCCCGGGCCTGCAGGGAGAGCGAGGGGCTGAGTGGGGGCTTCAGGAGGGGCAGGACCCGTGCCTGTGTGCTAAGCTGGATGGGGGGGGGGGGGGGGGCGGCTCAGGGCGTCCACTGGCCTCTGGATGATCCAACATCGGCTACCTGAAGGGGGGTCTCACTACCCCATCCTGAGAGCCTGTGTGAGACAGAGGTATCCAGGCCCCCTCTTAGAGGCAGAAGAAAAGGGGTCAGAGGGCAACTTTAGGCCTCAGTCCAGGCCCAACTTCAAGACCTAACCTTTCCCTCCCTTGTCTAGGTGAGGCCTGAGTTTCACTGAAGGAGCAACCATCAGGATGGGGCTGGTCTGCAGAGGCAGACTTTCTCAGGAGTCCTGAGCACCCCCAGCTCTGGGAAGCCCCCTAGATGTCCATTCTGCCCTATCCAGCACCCTGAGCCCCTGCTTGCCTGTGAAGGTGCCCAATGATATTCCTTCTAGGCTCCTGGTCCGTGTGTCCGGCCCAGGGCTGGCAGGAACCCACCGGAGGAGTCAGACATGGGGGATGGGCTAGAGACAAATGGTTGAGCAGAGGCTGTGGGCTGACTAAGCTCCTGCTGCCTCTCTCTCTAAAGCCCAGGACTCTACATAGCTCACACTCCACTTCCAAACTGGTCCCAGGGTAGGACAGGGGCCTCAGTGACCCCAAACTCCAGTCCAACACCCTCAATGGCCTATAACACTCAACAAAGAGGCACCATGGGGTTACAGCAGCAAAGTGCTCCGCCGCTAACAGAAAGTGAAACTTAGTGACTCCTCGGAAGAAAGGTCTGGCAAGCTGCTCTTTTAAAGACTGTGGCTAGGCACCATCTTACCAACTCAGTCTCTTAGTGAACCCATGTGACAGTACAACCGCCCCATTAAGGTTTTCTAGGTTGTCATCTTTATGGGAGGAGCCCTGGTGACGCTGGTAGGGTAAGTACTGAATTGAGACCCACAGGTTGACAGTTCAAACCCACCAGCTGCTCTGAGGGAGAAAGATGACGCTTTCCCCTCTTGTAAAGATTTATAGCCTCAGAAACCCTACACAAGGTCACTATGAGTTGGACAAAAATCCTCACCACTGGGCCAATGAACAACATCCATATAAATGGAGAAAAGATTGATGTCGTCAAGAACTTCTTTTTTGCTTGGATCAACCATCAACACTCATGGAAGCAGCAGTCAAGAAATCAAACAATGTATTAGGCAAATCTGCTGCACAAGACTTCTTTAACGTGTTGAAGCACAAAGATGGCAGTTTGAGAACTATGGTACGCCTGACCCAATCCAGTCTATTTTCTATAAACTCATAGGCATGCGAAAGAGCTGGACAGTGAATAAGGAAAACCATCGAAGAATTGATGCATTTGAGTTTCGGTGTTGGAGGAGAATACTGAAAGTGCCATGGACTACAAAAAGATCTGTTTGTTAGAACTGCAGCCAGAGTGCTCCTTGGAAGCCAGGATGGCCAGACTTCGTCTCTCATACTTCAGACATATTATCAGGAGGGACCAGTCCCTGGAAAAGGATATGATGTTTGATAAAGTGTAGAGTCATAAAAAAAAGAGGAAGACCCCCAACGAGATGGATTGGCAAAGTGGCAGCAGCAATGAGTTTAGGCATGGCAACGATGGTGAGGCTGGCCCAGGACCGGACAACATTTTGTTCTGATGTGTACAGGGTCACTATGAGTTGGCACCAACTTGATGGCACCTAACAACAGGAGTTGGACCATAATCTTGGTGTGGCACTGTAGGATAAGCACTGCACTGTTAACTGAAAGGTCAGAAGTTCAAACCCACCAACCACTCCTTGGAAACACTATACAGGCTTGCTGTGAGTTAGACTTAAACTTGATGGCAATGGATTCCATGAGAAAAGCCACCAGACGTTTTTCCCAAGAACTACAGGGTGTATTCGAACCACCAAACTGTCAGGTAACAGCCAAGTACTCTGTACCAACAGGGTTCCTTCTAGAAAATGCTATGAGGCAGTTCTACTCTGTCACATGGCATTACTATGAGCTGACAATCAACTCAACTCAACAGGACCTAAATATACCACCGGACAAGGGACTCACCAAGGCCATATGCCTCCTTCACCACCAGTACTGTCACTAGGCCAATTAACGAGTCATGTGATAGCTGCTGGGGCTACACTTCAAACAAATGTGGCCTCCAGGCCACAGGGCTGCTGCACTGTTAGGGGAAGGCAAGGTTTAGGGTGAGTGGCTGTGACAGGAAGTCTGGGGGCTGCCGGAGCAGACAGGGGCACAGACCAGACTTGGAGGAGGCCCTGAAGTCTCAGTTGACGAAAACCCTGTCCTGACAGAGCCCCAGGCTGGTGGCTGTAAAACAGACTCAAATGCTGGAGGTGGAAGAGCTCACAAAAGTCAGTGGTGGGGATAGTCTGGGGGCAGGGGTAGTGGTAGTGGTAGCGCCACTGGACTTGTGTGTTTACATGGGTTCCTGGTTTCCAAGGAGACACAGGTGAGGGTGGGACACCTATTTAGGCCATGGAGTGCAGTGATCCAGGAGGAGGGGAAGGGCAGGCTCTCACAGCTAGTTGTGAACTTCCTGGGGGTGGGACCGGTGGTGTGTGGTCCCCTAAGCTCTCTCTCCATATTCCCATTTCAGGCCTAGCACCCTGCTAGGAGGTAACCTATACCTCAACACGCCTAACCCCTCACAAGACTAGATTGGAGTTTATCACAACCCCCAGAAGAGGGATTTTCTGACTTAACTCCAGAGGATTGCTTCTATTCAGTATGAGGCATCACTCTTCATGGAGGTACTTTGTTAAGTGCCATCCAGTAGGTTCCAACTCATAGTGAACCTGTATAAGGTTTCTGAGGAGGAGCTGGTAAGCTTGAACCACCAACTTTGCAAATCAAACCGACCTTGCAGTCCAGCCGCATTAACCCGCAGAGCTACACCAGGACTCCATCTACAGTTAAATGCTACAATAGCCAAGGGCCTTCTGGGGCTGCAAGAGCAATAATCCCTCCAGCCACTAGATGGCAGCACACAAGCCAGAATGCCCTGTGCCAGCTCTGCCTGCCTCACTTGTATAAGAGCCAGTTAGCTAGAGACTGGACCCCTCACACCCCTTCCCAGACAAAGGCAGGGAAGAGTCCAGGGTCTCTGTTGCAGAATAAGCAGGGCCCCCTTTCCTATGATCCCTTGCGGTGTTTGCTCCATCTGCACTCCACTGGAGCTCCCAGACATCTATAATTAAGGGTTTGCTAGTCTGCGTGGTGACGTCACTGAGGGAATAAAAGAGTGGGCAAGCATCAGACCCAGGATGAAACTGCAGCTCTGCCAGTCTCTATGTGCCTCATTTACCCATCTGTACACTGACAGTATCCACCGTAGGGTGCTCCTATATCCACTAACATACTTCACCTGCACAGAACAGCGCCGGGCACAGCCAGTATTTAA